ACCTGTACCTGTAGATAGCATTATTGTATTTCCAGATATAACACCAGGCTTGATTACAACCTGTAGATGGCATTATTGTATTTCCAGATATAACACCGGGCTTGATTACAACCTGTAGATGGCATTATTGTATTTCCAGATATAACACCGGGCTTGATTACAACCTGTAGATGGCATTATTGTATTTCCAGATATAACACCGGGCTTGATTACAAATACTCAATTTTAATACTAGAAAAACCACCTATAGTTATTAGAGAAGTTGAAACTTTATCACACACATGGAAAAACACAAGACATGCTCGTATAATTAGATATATGCTAAATTTTCCAGTTCTGCTATTGCATGAATCAATAGATTTAATTAATTCCTTGATTGATACATTGACATAACATTAGGAATTCTTTTGGGAGCTCACCAGCTTGAACATCTGCCGAGTAAAGCTTCATCAGGAGACAGGCTGCTGACAAAGATTCCGTGACGACGGGTATCTGAGAAGGTTGAGCTTGGCCTTTCTCTACAATCTTTACAAGGATAGGGCTCAAGTCCAAGGCTTGCAACAGTGTGTTTCCTTAATAAACAAGTCAACAGTAAGTGAAAACGACTAACAAGTAACACATGTAGGATGAATAATTAAAGAAACAATTATTTTAATGTAAACCAAGTATGTCACACATCAGTTGTCTTCTTCAGTACAGTACACTAGAAAACCAATTTCACATTGTAACTCGTTCCTCACCGTCACATCACCAGGTTAAATCTTCTTTAAATCTAATTAAAGATTCGTTAAATGTAAGTAATTTTGTAAAACAAAGTAAACCTGAATTAGAGCTTCTTAAAAGTTCACCATCTTTATTTAACACATCGTTCATTAGACTTACAGTAGTCAAAAGAAATTCTAAAAATTTGGTAGAGACCATAATATTTAAGATACTAGTAAAACAGGAAAATGAAAAGAATTCGAAAAATTTGGTAGAGACCATAATATTTAAGATACTGGTAAAACCAGAAAATGAAAAAAAATCTACAAATTTGGTAGAGACCATAATATTTAAGATACTGGTAAAACTGGAAAATGAAAATTTCATACCATGAAATGCGGCATTCATGCACTTTATGTAAGCAACTCGTACAGCCAAGGACGTAGTTTTCAGGCCTAAACCTGTCTATTAGAAAACAAAAAAACTGTAATAAATCTCTTGAAATGACTTACCACTCAAACTGTGTATATTAATAGCTAAAAATTATTATTGATACAACATAACAAGGTATTATATTCCTGTAATTTTTTTGTTGAAATATGCAAAATAAATACGGTTTGTTTGTTTCTGAATTTCATGCAAAGCTACACGAGGGCTATCTGCACTAGCCATCCATAATTTAGTAATGAAGGCAGCTAGTCAACACCACCCACCACCAGCTCTTGGACTACTCTGATCATCACGTTATAACACCACCACGGCTGAAAGGGTGAGCATGTTTGGTGACGAGAATTTGAACCCACAACCCTCAGACTGTGAGTCGAGCTCCGTAACTACCAGGTCATAAGTATGGAAGCTATTTACCAGAATGTGTTTTCCATCCCCAACTATTGAAACTATAATTTCCTGACAAGGGATAACAGACAGAAAATTAGTTGAAGCAACAACGGTAGTAGACTTACAAGAGTTGAAACTAAAAACAACTATAGTTAACTGTGTTTATGACACTATAAAAATTATCGTAAGATAAAAAAAAGTGCATCTGAAGTTTATGGTCTAGATAACTTCTTCATAAACCAGTGGTTTTATCTCTACATTTATATTCAAATTATTGTGACCCACAGTGCCAGGTACGTTACATACATTTAAACAAGTTTCATTTGATTTAAATTCACATAAAAAAAATACTCACCTTGAACCATTCCACAAGACTGGAAGGGACTTGAGTAGTAAACTTTGCACACCAGAGGGCTAGCATCTTGAGTGCATGTACCAATGTTCTTTCATGTACTGTTCAACAAATTAAGTAAAGATTTCAAGAAATCACTAACTTAATTTCAAAGCAACTTTGAGACAGACTGACACCTTATTAAATATATAAAATAAAAATTAAACAAAGCTAGCAAGAACCTCTTATTGTGTAAACAATAAAGCTAATAAGGTTCTCTCACTTCATAAAAACTAAAGTTAGTAAGGTTCTCTTACTTCATAAACAATAAAGTTAGCAAAGTTCTCTCACTTCATAAACAATAAAGCTAATAAGGTTCTCTCACTTCATAAACAATAAAGCTAATAAGGTTCTCTCACTTCATAAACAATAAAGTTAGCAAGATTCTCTCACGTCATAAACAATAAAGTTAGCAAAGTTCTCTCACTTCATAAACAATAAAGTTAGCAAAGTTCTCTCACTTCATAAACAATAAAGTTAGCAAGGTTCTCTCACTTCATAAACAATAAAGCTAGCAAGGTTCTCTCACTTCATAAACAATAAAGTTAGCAAGGTTCTCTCACTTCGTAAACAATAAAGTTAGTAAGGTTTTCTCACTTCATAAAAGTAAAATCAGTAAGTAAACAATTGTAATTACTGTTATTATTGTTGTTTTAGCAAAATCCTACAGAATGGGCTAACTGCACTCGTCCAACGTAGGATTTTACGTTTATAAACAACTATCATCTTACCCTCTTGTTTGAGTACACCTATAAAGAGCTCAGCAGCTGTTTCACTAAGAGACTGACTTCCCGACACTGTGTGGTGGCTGAGTGCTCCTATGCCTCCTAACACTCCGAGTCTCTGAGCTGCTACTGTAAGCTTACCACCTGACCCTGCAGACAAAAAAGGATAACCTTGTTTAACATAAAAAAAATATTCTTAAATGTAAATCACGTTAGTAATTTATGTTAGTCTATATAAAACTAGTTTCCTTATCTAATACTATAAAACACAGTATGTATCTGTCTGTCTCTCGGTCACGCAATGATGTGATAGCAATTTATTATGTAATTTAAATAGTTTGGCTTCCTGTCAATTAGAAGTAAGTAGTCTACATTTGATCGTAAATTAAAGCTATATTTTGACTAAAATGTACACAAAATTGCACCTTTTTCGCAATTTGAAGTATCTTTGTTAAATTGTCGAGTTACGGCAGAAAGAACGTATATATATATATATTATTAGACATTTTGTATAACATATTACAAGCTTACCAAATTTTTTAAAAAGGTCTAACATTAGGTTGTACAATAATATTAGAAGGTTATATATTGATAGTATTAAGTGCGGTAAGGTTTAGCCCAAACTGAAATACAGCAAAAAACGTACACAAGTTACAGTATTAATTTATCTCTCTATTGAATATGGGCCTTACTTAATAATGGATCAATTAATGTTAGGATTAAGATAAGTGGACTTATAGATTTCAGTGTGTGTGTGTGATTTAGAATTCTTTTGTTTTACTCTAGAAACCCTATATTTAAAGAAGTATTGTTGGAATAAAGATACTAATTTAGCCACAAATGTCTGACAGGTCTCTACTAGTCTATAATAATTACCAAGAAAGAAGCAGTTTTATGAAGAACCCATAAACTCTGAAAACAAAAACAAACAACAGCTGAATGCTAACTTGATTCTAAATTATTTGTAAAGTCCAGTGATTGGTAAAGTACTTGTGTATATTTTAAATATGTTTTTATTGTAGACACCTGAATAAAGCTTCTGTTACTAAGTGATATTATATAAAACTCTAAGTGTCATTCAACTCATTAACACTCTCTGCACGGGTATCCTTTACTGCGCATGTCATAAGGTGTTAGTGAGTTAAATTCAAAATGTTATTAAACTACTTTTATTTATGTTTTACCAATTAGTATAGCATAAAATCATAGCTAATAATCCATATTTAATATTATATATGTTTTAAGTTCTTAATTTTATAAGGCAATATTACAAAAATCCTGAATTTCTCCAAGTATGAGAAATGTGACATTTTTTCTCTAGGCATCCTCTCTTCTATAATTTATTCACCACCCCTCCAATAAGTACAAAGTTTAATGTAAATTACTCACTATCAAATTGTCATTACTCAGACAAAGCACAATTTTTATAGCCGTCAATCTTGTT